AAGAAAACCTATATCCTGTACAGCTATGTACGTCCCCTCTGCCAGGCCGATGGTGGAGATTATTTCGGGGGCTTCTGATCCTCGTAGGACCAGAAATAAAAGAGGGAAAGTAATGAAAGAAGAAGTAATAAAAGCTTCTGGTAGGACTTTGCATTATATGATCTGAGACTCGGCATGGGATAAAATCTGCAGAAATGAGGAACTAGTCAATACAATGCATATGAATATTGTATTCTCACTGGGTGGAAAAAGACTATCCCGATCAGTTTCGTTTAATAAGGAAAACGATATCGTTTGGAAAAATGTGAGTAAAGCTCAAACCGAGTTCACACAACAATAGCAAAGTAGAGAAAGGTGAAAATGGGTTTCCACCAAAATGCTATAGCAGAAAGCAGAGTAGCCTCTGGTAAGACTAGTAGAGCCAAATACGGCTTACACCCCAATCAGTCAGTATCGGTCAAAATTCAACATGGATAAAACAGTCAAAGATTTAAGTAGAGTTACCCAAGCACCATCCAATTGCAGAAAATATAATGCAACCGAGTTAACTGATATAAGCACGATAAACAGTTTTAATAATAGTAACATTAAGTTTTCTTTTAAATTCAGTCATCAATGTGTTTTCGTGCTAGCATTACTCTTTTTTCTTCTTTAGAAGGATTTTTAAATCATTTTCCAATACCATTTCTGTTATTAAGCGCCACATTACTTCTACCTGCCGTCTCTGCACGCACCGAGTGTTTCATTTTCGTACCTCCTCCAGCTTCGGATTCTCCGGTTCTTCCAATTTTTTTTCGATTTATATTCGACTGTTTTCGTCCGGAAAGTACTCCACCTCTTTAAGATGCCTTTTAATACTTTTCAATATTGTGTTGTTAGCATTTTGTTGACCGCAAACATGAAGGTGGTGTTTCAACTGTAAGGAAGCGTTCTTGCTTTCTTACTAAGAACGAATCCGTCCGCCCCAAGGTACTCACCGTCCGCAACCAGTCAGTCCGATCTGTCCGTGCACGTTCGTTTGGGTTAATAAAAACATGCACAACCTCCTCCACCATAAGCATAAGTAGAAGACAATATGTATAAAAGCGTCAGATCAAAACTATGTATAAAAGCATAAATATAAGAAACTATGCACAAAGCCTTAGAACCCAACCGGCATGAAAGCACATATATAAGAAATTCTGTACAAACCTGTATAAAACCTGCATAAAAGCATGAATACAAGAAATTATGTTCAAACCTGTACAAAAGCACGAATACAAGAAATTATGTTCAAACCGATATAAAAGTATAAATATAAGAAATTATGTACAAAGCCTTAGAACCCAACCTGTATAAAAACATAAGTATGAGAACACGCCGAGAGCACCCGACTTATACAAATCAGTAAGATCGGATCGGTACGAAATCAGTAGGATACATGTACACTCATAAGAGCACAAACATACACAGAAGCTACAGGAGCATTGCACAAATGTATAGCACCGTTAGGGCACATGAAATCTCCAGACAACGTATCGCACCGTTAGGGCAAACAAAACACACAGAAATGAGCGTAGGTAGGAAAATAAGGAATAAGTATGTACATGCAAAACGAATAGACTTTAGCAAAAGTCTCTATGCCGTAAAATGTATAAACACATTGCACAGAGAGTATAGTAATGTTAGAGCATATGCAATCTTCAAAGCGGGTAGGTCAAACAAAGCGCACAGAAATGAACGTAGGTAGGAAAATAAGGTAATCATATACAAGCATGCAAAATGCATAGACTTTAGCACTACACAAACGTCACTATGCTGTAAAAAGCAAAGGGTATAAACTGCAGAAACATCGCATAGCACCGTTAGGTCAGATGAGACAATAGAATACGCACACAAATAGGAAATGCATATAGTAATTCAGTAGAAAATCTGGACAACAGATGATCATACAAAGCATACAGGAATGAACACTCAGGTACAAAACGACATAACACATATGAACATATGAGGTTGTGACAGCAACCAACCTCAGTTAAGCACATGTATAAGTAGAATACCACAACACACGTAAATGCATGCAACCGAGGACATGTTGGAACGGAACAAACGAGCCAGACCCCAGCTATAAAAGAGCAGCTCATCACACAGAATCTTTCAATTTGGTGCCATAGCTGCCTAAGGTAAGTGCTCGCGGACAATTTAACAAATCGACTTCTATAAAGAGTTTTGACTTTACGGATAGGGGGTGACAGGTGTGGTTTCGCGTCATCTCTGAATGACTAATAGGGCTACCGACCACCACGGATAGGGGATGACAGGTGTAGCTTCGCCGTCATCCCTGAAGGACCAAGGAACATTGTTTTTTTAATTATTAGACTTACATACAAATAAGCAGCTCGAGACAAACCGTGGGCATAGAGAACCAAGGCAGCTATGACACCTGCAACGCATCTGGTCTTTTCTTGTAGTGTCCCGCGACATTGAAAACAAAACGAAAAAAAAGCAAGCTCTAACTTCGTGCGTGGAAAACAAAACGGTAATAGCGCGACAAGTCGGGTCACTTCGCTGGTTCCTGTCCTAGCCAGCCTCTACACAACGCTGTACCCCGTTTAAAATTCAATAAAAGGAAATTGTAAACCATTCCTCCCGAAGGAGCAGAATATTTCATTCTACATAAATTTTCTTGCAACGAACCTCGGATTGACTGAGTTCCACCCCGGCCAAGAAGACTCGTTACACAACCTTTGCAGCATTATTGAAAGTTCTTGCGCGCAGACTGCTATTGAAAATGGGATACCCATCTTCAGGGTTTCTTAATTTTATAAAGCATTTAATTTCAATTTCGCATCGTCTTTGGATGAATTTTTTATATCATCACTACCGACGCCAACGTTCGACATATTTATTAATCGCCGCAGTTACGTTGTCATTGCTGTCAACAGTGGCCGTAGACTCGTCAACAGGCTCTGTGACGGATGATGCCGATAGAATAGCAGCTAATTGTTACTCGTCATCTGAGGCACGAATTATAACCCATGTATTTCGTTCAACACGTTCATTTCATTATCCTAAAGTTTGACTTTTTCATCTGCATTTATTTACTTGTTGCTAATAAATTAATTTTTTATCATCTACTCTTACACCCACCATCGCAGGACAATGGTATCCTCATTTTGTCAAAGTACTTGCAAAACCCGCAAGGAAGTTTCAAAAAGCTCATTAGTTGGGTACATTCTCAATCAGTATCAAACATTTTATGTCATGGCATCTCGGTCTTTCCGTCTCTGCAGATTTTTGTGGTGAACGTTTTTCTATTCACAACAATTCAAATATCGGCCTGAATTTGGCAACAACTGCGAAAGTTCTTCAGCATAGGTTGGCGTAGAAATTGATGAAATCGCTCAAAGGACACGACCACAATACAACTTGAACTGAGAAGAATCCTTGTGTTGTCAAAACCCGGAACATTGAGTTTTTTGGTCGATACTCATATTGTCCAGGGCTGATACAATAACTGTAGTAAAACGGAAAAAAATCGACCACTTCGCCCAATGTTATATATTATCCAAATTTTGTTTTTATGTTTCTTAAAGGCAAAGAAGATTTTACCTATTTGCACCGTAGTTTTCTTTTTTATGTAATGTTATGTTTTCATCTTACTTAGCCTTTTATTTTTAATAGAGAACAAACATTTTTAATCTAGAACAAACTTTTACGTAACGTTGATTATTTTCTTCAAGATAAATTTTTGATAAATGCGAAAACTAAAGCAATGCAGAAATTTAGGCTCGTATCCATCTATCAGTTGTCATTTTCAAAAAAATGCATATATACTTCCTATTTAAGGAAAGTATTCGCACCACAAGTTACGTATCGCGGAATATATAGTGCAGGACATTTGAATTAATCAATGCACAAGTCTAACAAATTATTGTTACTAATTTGTACTGCATGTAAGAGTTCTTCTCGTTAGCGCGCTTGTTCGATGCATAAATTAATTAATTAATTAAGGATTGCTAAGGTAATCTATTATAGTAATAGCCTAGCAGAGCAGCCATTCGCTTGTTTATATATTGGGAATAGTTAGTTATCAGTTTCAATGCGTATTAACTTTTCGTGAACAAATTAAAGTTATAATTCGGTTTTAATTTAAATGGACTTTAATTAAGTTTTGGCAGAACTTTAATTTTTTCATGTAATACTGCTTTCAAAAAGGGAATTAGAAAACATTTAAGCAAGGGAAGCCAAGTCAACTCAAGTTCTATTGATACTTATTCCAAGTTTCTACCACAAACTGAATCATAGCAAACGGATATGTAATTAAAAGCCTATTTCTGACAATTTAACTTACTCCTATGTTAAAGCACTACGTCGAGAAAAATATATACGCAGAGTCAATCGTTCTATACTTTTTCCTTTTTTTGCTTTATATTGTGCTCTATGGAAAAAAAAAAAATTGCAACAACGCTCAAAGTAAATTTCAACGACAACTTAAGCAATTTGTCTATATATTATAATATAATATTTTTTGTAATTTTTCAACTTTTATTTCAAATTTATTTTTTAGATTTATCAACTAATTTGCTTGCTTTCGCTAGCGCGGGCATATTATGACATTTGCGGAAAATGGCAACAACGAAACTACAATTCATAGTTGCAAAAATGAGCATTTAATTTTAACATAGCATACAAATATGCCACCTACGCAAAGTTGATAAAAATATATTGTAAAAGTTTTAGAGATTTTCGATGTCTTGGGTCAGATATAGACGAGAAACTTAAATGACTTAAAGACAAACATTCTAATGAGAGTTATAATTTAATGCGATTTTTTGCTCCTTTCGCTATTTTTTTTTTCTACTCCACATTTTCTACAACTAAAAAGGCCTATATAAATATATTCCATTACTAATCAGCTGATATTTATTTATTTACTTAGAGACGCCGCAAAAACAAAATGCGATTTTATTTAAACCTTTGGCAAATGTTAAAAGAAAAACGATGCGCCTTATTTAAATAATACATCAAGAACAAATATTTTTAAAAACAATTTCAATGGCTTAATTTATAAAAGCGACTAATTGAGTGGGTACAAAAAGTTATTAAACGCCATTGTCGGCGGTTGTTTAGTAGGCTTACAATGTGGCCAGCAGCATTAACACGCCTATTAAAGAGAAGACTTGTTTACATCGTATTTATTTCATTGATTTTCACCTATTTATTAGTGAAGTTAGTTAATCAAGTAAGTAAGAGTAAAGTATATACGCCTTTCTTAATTTTTTTTTGTTTCTTTGTGGTGTCTTTTTTTTTCTCTTTCAAGAAACATCATTTGCGCCTATTAAAAATCAAAGACTTTAGTGTTCATCGTACCAAACCATTAATATGGCGTACTTTACAAGAACATTTGCTGACCGATGAACCTTCTAATCGTACAAATCCTCCAGACATTACTTGCCGTAACTCTCTGCAAGGCAAAGAATTGTTGGTGGATGATCGGGGTTTTGTTTGTAATCGTGAACATATCTTACAGAATGGTTGTTGCAACGTCGAATTACCGGAAACTCTTTATTACACATGTGAAACATGTAACAATAGTTCCCACTGCTGTAGCATCTACGAATATTGCGTATCATGTTGTTTGCATCCGGAAAAACGTCCATTGCTTGAGTTAGCATTGCAAGCCGTTAATGGTCGACAATTAACGGTTTTTGCTCAAGTATTAGACCAATTTGAATTATGTTTGGTTAAATGCCGCACTAATTCGCATTCAGTGGAACATGAGAATCGTTATCGCGACGGTAAAGTGCAATATTGTTACGGCCCCACTGAAGCCCACGAATCTCAAAAAGAAGTATTGGGTATTCCAGCATAAATAAACGGCCCCAATTAGCGGTTTGTAAAACATAATTTAAGGTGGTTTTTTGCTTTCCTGCATTAGTGATATCTTCTATACAAAAAACGAGGATTTTAAAGCCTCATAAAATATTACTCCTAAGTTTAAAATAAAAGCATTGTGAAATATATTTTTATAAAATAAATAAATAATAGTTAAGAAATATTTTTTATAGTGGTTCCTTAAACGTTTTGTCGTGATCGACGCCATAACATATCTCGCTATTTTTAACGTAAGCCCAAGCCATTCGACGTGTAGTCCAATAAACGCCCACTTGCCCGTTTGAACCAATAGTTATCGCTCCTCCCGTGCCAAGCAAACGCTTTGTCATTTCTTTGCAGGCTTCTTCAGTGGCCGCTTGCGCCGTTTTGCATTCATAATGTATTTTCGCCATGATTTTTTGGGCCAAATTAAAACGCATTATAGTTTCACCATGGCCAGTTGCAGAGACACCACCGACTAGGTTATCAGCATAAGTGCCGCAACCCAATAAAGACGAATCACCTATTCGCCCTAACATTTTACCAGTAATTCCTCCAGTGGAGGTAGCCGCTGCTATGTTTCCTTCAATGTCTATAGCAACCGCACCTACCGTACCCGAACCTTCGGGTGGATCTTTCTTTATGGATCCAACATCTATTTCGCTGGGCGTAAAAGCCATATCCGAACATCTAACATGGCGTTCTTGATGCTTTTGCCAAGTCATTTGAGCACTTTCAGTGACCAAGGAATTCTCTGAAATATTTTTATAAAACAGCTTTTAAGTAATTAAGATGTCTCCTCCTTTCTTACCGGCTAATTGTTCATATCCTTGATTGAAAGCAAATTTTTGGGCGGCTTCGCCAGCCAAAAATACGTGCCTGGTTTTATGCATAATGCAACGAGCTACTGAGACGGGATGAATAATATCATGTAAAAGAGCTACACAACCCGCTCGCAATTCGCTACCGTCCATAATGCTGGCCTCCACCTCGACCTTACCCGCTACATTTAAACAGGAACCGTAGCCGGCATTAAAACTCTCGTCGCATTCCATGATTCGAACGGCAGCCTCAACTGCATCCAACGCACTACTTTTAGATATGTCTTTAGTTACTAACAAATGCTTTACAGCCACACGGAGTGCTTGTTTCATACCGTCCACTTTCTTTGGAGCTAGTGTATCACTAATACCCCCGGCCCCGCCATGCACCAGTAAAATTGGTTTTATTGCCAATTTACCAGCCATCGATAAATTTCTCTTTAATAAATAGCGATATCCTAACGTGTAAGCAGTCATTTATGGAAAATATAAACTTTAATTTTCATTTTTCCCATCTGTACGCCTTCGAACAGCTGATTACCTTGGTTTTGTGTCTTTCTATGCCCTGTTTTCATTTTGAGGGTGCATTGTTTGGTTAAAAGAAACATAATGGACCTGTCATAAAATCAATATATTTTTATAAAGAAATATTAAAAAAAGCTATAATCTTTTTTATAATTGCTCTTTAAACTGTTTGCCGTGATCAATGCCATAGAATATTTCGCCATTTTTAACATAAGCCCAACCCATTCTATGTGAAGTCCAATATATTCCTAACCGGCCATGCGCGTCGATTGTTATCGCCCCTCCTGTGCCAGTCAAACGTTCCGTCATTTCTTTGCAAGCCTCCTCAGTGGCTATTTGTGCGGTCTTTCCTTCGTAACGTATTTTAGACATAATTTTTTGTGCCAAATTGAAACGCATTATAGTTTCTCCATGACCGGTTGTAGAAACACCGCCTTGCAAATTATCGGCGTATGTGCCACAACCCAAAAGAGGAGTGTCACCGATACGACCAGATACTTTGCCAGTAATACCACCGGTAGAAGTAGCCGCTGCTATATTACCGTTGCAATCAATAGCTACCGCACCAACCGTACCTGGCTCTTGTTCACCGCTATCTTGCTTGACATCCAGCTCAGTGCGGGCGAAAGTGGTATCCAAGCCGCTGGCTTGGCGTTCTTTAAATTCTTCCAAGGCCAAACGAGCATCTTCAGTGATTAAGGAATTCTCTGAAAATTTTGATCTTAAAATAAAACCTTCAAATTATTTTATAGTTACTTTCACGAATACCTGGCAATTGTTCAAAACCATGTTCTAAAGCAAATTTTTGTGCTGCCTCTCCTCCTAAAAACGTATGTTTTGTATTTTGCATAACGCAGCGCGCAACAGATATGGGATGCATAATATCGTGCAATAGGGTTACACAACCTGCCTTTAATTCACTACCCTCCATAATACTAGCTTCCACTTCCGCTTTGCCCTCGAAGTTTAAACAGGCACCGTAACCAGCATTAAAATTTCCATCACTTTCCATGACTCCTACAGCAGCTTCTACTGCATCTAAAGCGCTGCCTTCACTTAGATCATTATTAGGTATTAAATGCTTAATACCGACACGTAAAGCTTGTTTCATACCAGTGAGTTTTCCCGGGCATCGAGCATCGGTTATGTTACCAGCACCACCGTGCACAAGCAAAATTGGCTCCATCGGCGTTGAAACTGTTCCGCTTATCAAGTGCCGATATACTCCGTACAAAATCTTTTATTTTGTTTTTAATTACTTACGATTCGAATAACGATTAGATTAACTTCAATAAGTTCATAGATTTATGAACAAAGACTAATGCATAACTAATGCAACGTTATTGCATATCGTCGTTGATATGGAATGCTTTTTATATATTTTCTAATATTTAAAAATATCTTAAAAGTCACTTATTTACAATAGTACAACAATATATATGAGGTTGGATGTGCCGTATTGAAGCAAGATAGCGAGTATCGTATACTGTGTAGATTAGAAACAATATTTCTGTTTTTGACCGTATCGAATACTTTCGCTGCCATTTGATAGAATTGCCATAGGCCGACTGTGATTAACAACAGAGATTTTTGTCTCTGTCTAACAAATATTAAGCCTAATAATAGAATTAATGCATTTGAGGCCACAGTGAAAAAATGAAATGCATATTTGAACTCTAATCTCCTTTTAGAAGTTAACCAAAGTTCGTAAACAAGTTCTAGCACAATACCACTGGCAGTATGCTTTTTATATGTACGTACATGACGTAGATCTTCTTGAGCTTATACTAAATATTTTTGTATTTTCGCAAATAAATATGCGGAATTTATATAAAATCTACACATCTTTTTTTTTTTTTTGCCATTTTCAACATTTAGTGCTGATGGCACGTACTTTGTACGTACTACTAACTCCATAACTAACGCTTAAAAAAGTCGTCGTTTTTGATAAGCGGAAAAGTATGCTTTTACTTGTAAAATTAACTAACAGTTTACATAGATATTCGATAAGCGACAAAAACATAACTCCTCACAATATTTACTTCATGTCTATTACACATAGTTAGGAATTTTGCTATTTGAAGCTAATTAATCAACTAACAACTGTGCTCCTAATATTAACTTTAATACTTTTTTTAAGATTAGTAATGTTTAATATTATCGCCGAACAAAAGATGCAAGAACATTATAGTCGGGCAAAGCTGACAATAAGATACCCTACATCATTTCAGTCATTTTGGTACTGATACATAAAAAATTACATATTACTTTCATGCAAAGGTGTACTTTTCATGAAAGCCCCAGCATTGAAGGATTCCCGAGACATCGCATAACACGATTTACATATTGCAAACTTAATTTGTTTCCTCAAAAATTTTATTATTTTTTCATTTCCATCATGGAAAACTAGAAATTAGATTTTCTCTCCATATAAGGGCATGATTTTCATGATAACCTCTGCATATGTTACGGTTTAAAAACTAGATCTATTTGATCCAAATTCCCTACCATAAAATTGTTTGGTAAATTGCTGCTATGGATCAATTTTCATCATAAAATATTAAAAATTAATCCTCTTTTCGAAGGAATTGCTATTCAGAAGAAATCCTATATAGAGTGGAGTCCAAGAAACAGACGCATGTGGCTCAAATTTCGCCCCCCTAATTTTTATGACAAATTGCAACCATAAAGAAATTCTAATCATAAAACACCAACAGTTGGACCTTTCAGCGTTTGCATTCCCTAAGACTCCTTATATGCGATGGTATCAACAAAATACATCTGCATGGTCCAAATTCGGTAAGGTTGCTTTCTTCGTTAGTTTACTGTTATGAACTAATTTTCACCATAAAATACCCTTTTACGATAAAAATGTTTAGTTTTTGGGGGCACGATTATATGAGAGAGGGTTCAAAGAATTACCCCAGGCGAACGAAACTTTTTCAATCAATTTAGAATGCCGAAATACTATTACTCAGCGACTTATGTCGAGAAATTTCAGTCTTTTTAAAAGAAGACGTTATATGCGGAGTGATCGGAAAAGTCGCCTGATCCCAATCATTTTCAGTAGCGTTCGCCCTTGGGCACGTCATCAAAATATCCCAAAAATTGCGAACTGTAGATTGGGCACCAAAATACATGAACAGACATCAGGCAGACAAATCAGTATAACAAAATGTAGATCTATCCTAAGTCATTCTGCGCGTTACATACATCCGCACAAACTTAATATATTCTGTATCATTCCTGACACAGATTATAAATAGACGCGTGTATTTTAATAGAGAAAGAGCTTACGAGAAGACTTGTAATTCGTTTATTCTTTAATAAATATAAATAATTAAATTTTTTCGAATTCTAGTTTTCGAGATATACCAATAGCCAGTAGTGAAAACCAAGACAGGCATTGGAAACACTTTTCGATCGATTAAGAAGACAAACTTAGAACATAAACATGAGCTAACCTAAAATACATCCATAACAAAATGCATCACAAAAAAAAAAAAAAAATTGTGGAGGTTTCGAAAAAATAAAAACTTGCAATTAACTTACATAAATATTTTTCGAGACCATTAGAGATTTCAGTTTTAAAAATCGTTCTAATCGATTTATTACTACGGCCACAATTAAAGAAAAACTTTCTCATTGATTTTAGTAATTTTTTTTTTTTCTTTTTTTTTGCTTGGTTATAAGAATAGATCAGATCTTTTGACCATGAGACCACTACATCCAGGAGAGTGTTCAGTTTTCATTATTTGGTGATTTTTGCCCGTTGTGAGCGATATCGACAGCATATGCTGATGTATAGAATAATCCGACAAAGAATTTAAAGAAAAACATGAATTTATACCCATCAACAACATATGTTCGGTTCAGGCACAATTGTCTATGAATCAGAGACCAAATAGGCTCTACGTATGTATACTTCCATCCGTCTACCTCGATTTATGCATTCTCTGTTACTAAGTAATTGGGGACCGTTCACAAAATTGCACTCTGGTCTTTTGGATTATGAGAGTGAGATCACGACAAATAATTCGATGTCTAAGCGATAAATAATCATAAAAAATGTAGGGAAAATGTATTTAGATTGCTATTACACGCTACACCACTTGCCGTAAAGGTGTATTAATTATGTGTGAATATGTGCAATATCCCGAAAGATTAGCCCAGTCTTCTTATACACTAATCGATTCGACATCATATTCTTAATCGATCAGAGAATATTTCCTTTGGTTGTCTAATATCCGTCTACGTATTGCTGTACGCAATCTACAGGTTGCAGTTTCCAAGATACTTTGTTGAAATATGCTATAATAATATGCAACGGGCCCAAGGACACACTTTATTGAGAATGAATTTGAATCCGACATTCTTACGACCACTATCGATGTGCTATACATATGCTCATTTTCAAAAAAGCGCCAAAACAGCCGAATTTGTCGTGTCATGATCTTCCTTCGTGCTAAAATTTGCACCATAATATAACATATTCGAGAATGTCACGTTGTTATCGATTAAGCTCCGTATTTTCTCTGCGAATTGAACACTGATAAGGTTTTCAAAAGTGTTTTTTTATCATTTTCGCATTATCCGTCTCAATATTCAAATCGCCCAAATTGCTGCGTTGCCCATAGGCATGTTTGTAAGTTTCAACTACACGATGCCAGTAAATGTCTTGATTGTCAGTGTATAAACCGCTCATAACATTTAAAATAAAAACTAACACGGCACCGCGCGACGGCAATGTAGTAGAGCTTATACCCACCAATTATATCGGCCTCGACATAATTTTTTGCGAATTGAACTCTGAAGGGGTAACGACATATTTGTGAAACTTTTTTGGAAATCATTATCATTAGTTTCTTTTTTTTACTTCTACTAACTTGTAATTCATTAAATCTCTTTCAGTTATAATTCCGCCCATATTTTGCATAACTTTTATTAGCAGTTTATCAGTTTTACCGCCACCATATATTTCGTCCGCCCCATTATTGGCAATTCTTTCTAAAGTCATGGCCAGTGTAGGTCTTCTCAGGACATCGCCTTCTTTGCATAGACTGTTATCCGACTTGACAAACAGCTCTGTCAAGGAAGGTTCATTTCGTATTTCTTTCTCTTTCGATTTTAGAGCAGCCGCTAAAAATTTCGATAATATATGATCTTCTTTACACAATCTAATCGTCGGCTGAAACAATGATTTCTAAGGTAAACGGCCATAGCGTTGTTGTAGCTCCCAATAGCCTAACATTTCACCTCGAACTGCAACGGCTCGAGTGCCTACAATAACGTGAATAAAATTTTAAGCAAAAATGCGAATAATGTTAAATAGTAGAGCACGCTTACCGACTATCGATGATCTTCCAATAAACCTGTTTTTGTGTGCGGCAGCAGGAGCCGATTCTCGAGCGATTGCAGTCTCAATTCTTTTATGTAATTTTGTGTAAACGGTGGTCGGAAAACCGCCACCAATACCCATGCCATGGGATACAATAACACCTTCACATAACAGTGTAGCGATGGCGGCATCTACGGCGGTGCCTCCATCGCATAACATTTCACGGCGAATATCAGCACATCCGAGACGATTTGAAACAATGGCTCCAGCCAAGCTTCGCTGTTTTAATTTTAAACCAAGAGCCTTAGCTAAAACTAATATCAAAAAGATACGACATTATTATGACACCGATTATAAGCTTTGATGTCTATTCATTTTTAAAAAAATTTCAAATACATAGGAAAAAAAGTAAACGAAAATTGGAAAAATTCACATTCACTTGTATGCAATTATGATCAGAGTTGTGACGAGCGACTGACTTAACACTTTACGTCTAAGTGTATGGGGCGTGAGGTTATGAGTTATATCCAGTCGTCTATGCTGGATTTGGATTAATTTTCCTTGTTTGTGGAATATTCATGTAAAATTCTTGATCACGGCATTGTATGAATTTATCCCAAGAAGATGTGCTATAATATAAAGCTTTAGGTCGAGCCTGCGACGAGTAGATAAACGATATTTGCTGATTTTAAGCAAACTTGAAAAAAATTGAAATTGAAGTTTGGTGTACATACGTGTGGGTTGTTCTTGAAGATGCACTTCGACTTACAGATATATCCACAAGAAGATAAAAAAAACAAAAACGATTTAAAAAAAAAAACGTTTCTTTAGAAGTCATGTTAGGACGTTTGTCAAAGTTTTATTCATTATTTATTATTGATGTAAATAAGTGAATGCGATGATCACAATGCGTGCGAGCTTCAAGTTACATTACAATACAATAACAATAATGTATGGAGATCCTTCCAGCCTTGAAAGTTGAAATATATAATCGGCTAAGTTAGCTTCTGGCGTAATCTACGGTATTGTGTTTTATTTTTTTTTTTTTTTATATCACGGTTTAGCAAAAATTCACTAAAATCATTTAATTGAAGCTATTTATCTACAAATTTTTTCTAATTAAAAACTAACGAATTATTAAAATATAAAATCACATATATGTATAAGCACACAATTACAAAATATATAGGGGAGCTTTCTTAACTTGTTATGTGACAGACTTTGGCATCTTTTGCAATGATAAACTGCTGCGCTTTTTCTTCAGAACTGCCGCACTGCCAACACGTCGACTATCATAGTATGGTTCCGGTATACCCGATCGCATACCGATAGCTGTTAGAGCAGCGAAACCGGTGCCCTCGGGTGAAGTCTCAATTTCATGACCGACGCTTTTCAAATATTTAACAATCTTGTCGGGAACTTTTGATTCGATAGTTACCTTCATTGGGGCCAATTGGTGATGCAATCTTCCGTCATTAACTGCTTGATGTAGGCTCTCGTTAAGTATTAAATATTTAATAATAGTCTAAAAATGTAAATTAAAAAGTATTTAAAGCATAGAAAAGAAAAATATTGTTGTTACTCTGCTGTACCTGAGCTACCGCGGTGGTAATTTTCGTACCCCCTGCGGCCCCTACTAACAAACGTACATTGCCTTCGCCATCGAGTATAATGCTAGGACACATGGAGGATAAGGGCCTTTTACCAGGATGTATATAATTGGCGGGCGAGGCTGGCACACCAAATGAATTTACAACACCCGGCGTAGAAAAGTCATCCATTTCGTCGTTCAAAATGATACCAGTCGAAGAAGAACGCACTTTGGCCCCAAAGTAATTATTTATAGTGCTCGTAACAGTAATAGCATCACCATTTGGAGCTAAAACAGCCATATTAGCAGTGCCGCTGTCGTTTTCGTTGGTGAAATTTGCACCATAATATAACATATCTGAAAAGGTCTCGTTGTCACGAATTAAGTTGCGAATTTTCTGAGCAAAATTGGCACTAATCAAATTCTCAAACGTGTCCTTAATCATTTTTGGGTCGTCCGGTTCATTATCCAAATCGCCCAAATTGGTTCGTTGGCCATAGGCATGTTTGTAAGTTTCAATTACACGATGCCAATAAATGTCCTGATTGTCAGTATACAAACCATTTATGACATTTAGAATGAAAGCTAGAACTGCACCACTCGAAGGTAATGGGGTAGAATAAAGTTTATAGCCACCAGTTATTTTCGCCTCAACATGTTCATTTTGCCATTCGACTCTGAAGAAGTAATAACAAACTTGTGGGAGTGTTTTTCGAAAACTATTTTCGAGTTTAGTATTTCTACTAACTTGTAATTTTTCAGGTCTTCTTCCGTAATAATTCCGCCCATATTTTGTATATCTTTTACTAGCATTTTACCGGTTTCACCGCCACCATATATTTCATCTGCCCCGTTATCAGCTATCTTTTCTAAAGTCATGGCCAGCGTAGGTCTTTTCAGAAAATCGCCCTCTTTATATAGACTTTTATCGGGCTTAACAAATACTTCCGCCATGGAGGGCTCAGCTCGTATCCTTTCTTCTTCTTTTTTTAAAGCAGCCGCCAAATATTTCGATACGAAATGACCTTCTTTGCAAAGTTTAATGGTTGGCTGAAACAAGGATTTCCACGGTAAACGTCCGTATCGTTTATGTAGTTCCCAATAGCCTAAAATTTCTCCTGGCACTGCCACAGCTCGAGCGCCTTAAACGATATCAGTAAAGCATTGAACAAAGCTGTGCGTGATAGAAAAAATGAACACTTACCAGTTACGGAGGTCTCTCCAACAAACATATCTTTATGAGCAGCAGCTGGGGCCGATTCACGCGCAATGATGGTCTCTACTTTTGCGTCGAGCCTTTTATAAATAGTGGCCACGAAACCACCACCAATACCCATACTATGCGCAACAACAACGCCTTCACATAATAATGTAGCAATCGCGGCATCTATGGCAGTCCCTCCATCATATAATGCTTCACGGCCTATATCGGCGCATCCGTAGCCATTTGATACGATCGCTCCAAAGTTGCGTCCGTCGTTTTTGTCTCGGATTTTCAAGCCAAATATGAGAGACGGAATTAAGATTAATATTAAGACAGCAGACATTACAACGCCTATAATAAGCTTTTTGTTTAAAACAATTCTGAAAAATATAAATCGAAGACAATTAATAAGAAAACTACAATATACTTCATCTGCAGGAAAACTTGAATACTCTGCTCTTTAAATACTTTTTTTTATCTTTTAGGGGCCTATTAGAAAATAATTTTTTGTCTTCGTCTTTGACGAGATCCTAAGGAAAATGCGATCAGATAGCTTTCTGCTAAATGCCGATTATATGCTAATGTACGAAAATATTTTATAATTTTGGTTTTCATTACTATCAGAAATGACGCTCATTTCTAGACTTGATTTGTCTAAATAGCCCATTAATTATTAACCCGCGCCCAAGAAATTACTAAATCATTTCTTACCCGTGACCAATACGTTAGAGGAAAAAATATTGATAGATAACAAAAACCTTGTAAATATATTCTTAATATATAAAACAAGTAAGAAAGTTGTATTCGGGGGAGGGTGAATCTCGCATATCCACCATTGTGTTTTTCGCATTTTATTCTCAAGTTCTTTTATTTGATACCGATATCGCTAGTATTATTAAGACAAAAATAATCGGGATGCCTACCATATCCATTTTAAAATTAAACCATTTGTAGGCAGATAGTATATCTTCTTTGAATGAGCGTACAAAATAGTTTTAAATATTCAGTCTTGTTTACCTTATGATATATAAGCATAAACCTCAGAAAAAGGGTGAAAAGAAAAACAGAATTTAATCGCTTTTAACTTTGTGCGGGCATGACGGATGTTTGCCATTTCCATTGCACGTAACGAGTCGAGTGCTTCGTAAAGTAAATGTGGAAAATTTCAGCCTTTTAGCTTTTAAAATTTTTGAATAACGAGCAAAGATCCAAAAATGAAAAAAAAAGAAACCGAGTAGCGTTCAGTTTACACTCCACTGTACGCTTTCGCTCTGACCGATTGGACCAACTTGGGGTGCAAAAACTTCTAATATTTCTATTAAATTTGAAGTCGATATCTTTATTTTTGCGCCCAGGCAAGTGCCAACAACACCCACCACGCAGACACCTAGACGGACAGGCATGGATAAATCAACTCTGAATTTTACGCTGATCGAGATTATGTATACTTTATAAGGTCGCTGAAGCTTCGTTTTGGGTGTTACATGCTTTATGGAAAAAAACGAAATGAGTATAACCCCATCTTACAGCGATGGTTATAAAAATCGTAGTCGATATTGTTCTTCAAAAAGTCTATTATCATTGAAAAGGAAAAAAAGTTATTACTCATCATATAACTTATAGCAAATGTCGGTGCAACCAGGTACCAGCACGATTCAAAAACTTGTAGGCTCACTAGCACGTCCATAATTCACAAAATAAAAATTTTTCTTTTTTATAATCCCATGAAGGAGCGGATTAAGTTAAAGTGTGTGTCGCCAAGCTAAGAAGGCAGTTTGTCTGTTGAAAAAGCTGCGCTCGATTTAAATGAGAAGGTCTTACTACCATTTTAATTAAAGTATTATACAATAATGTTAGAGGGGTCAAAAGGTAAACTTTATCCCTGGATAAATTTCTAATTTTTACTGACACAGTAAGAACATTACTATACTTTTCCCTTTAGTAACTCGAAAAAGTGTTTTTTCTTACCAATAATTATAAATTGAAGTTTATTTCTCTTTTGAATAGGTAACGGGCTTGAATTTTCTGCCTTGTCAAGTTGACTTTCTCACTTTCTAAACCTCTTTTGCACTAAAACTTTTATAACCTTAAGTACTTAAATAAAAAGAAATTTCTTAATAAGTTTAACTTTAAAAATCTATCCAATTGCGCCTATTTGCATAAAAACTTCATTTAATTACTGCTGCAACAGCGGAAATTTCTTATCAGAAATAAACTTTTTCATCATAAAATATTTGGTGATTGGGTGAAAAGATAGCGTAACACTTTACTCCTACGAATTTCCAAATTCATCTAACTAAACATTATAAGAATTTAACTGTTATCAGTATCATCAATATATTCCCTTAAATTTTTTTGTAAGCCTCTTCAATAAACACTGGCTTATAGTGTCGTTGAAAATGAACATTCGTTGCCAATAATCCATTTTTTCATCCTTTTCAGTATCTTATTATCAAAAATTGTTAATAGAAATTTATCAAGCCATTTAATGTAGATTTATGAATTTTTTCTTATGAGATATGTTATGGAATTATATGAATCTAATTGTGCTCTACCAAGAAATGCAATTCGTCTCAAGGAAAATGTTTACAAATTACATCTAATTCCGAGCAATTGCTCCCGACGAACTTCTACTCATTCTTTCCTTTCCCCTTCGGTTTGATCGCTGTCTACGTCATCCACGTAGCCAGATATGCCGGCATAAATTTTGATTTATTTAAAATTTAAAAATGCTTTTTGCTTACTAATATTACTTTTTTTTTCAATTCAATTACTTAACGAAATGGCGTAGTTGTTAATAAATTAAAAAGGGAATCGCGTTTAAAATGATTGCGTCGAAAATTTTCCTACGCCCTATAAAATCAAAATTAATCAAATTAAACTTTATACAATTTTTTATAATTTTTGAAATCAGGACAAATAGGCTTCATTCGATCAACTGTTGTTATAACTTTTTTGATCATCCGTGGATGTTGAATTGTCACACAAGCTTTTTATGCCCCACATCACTTGCCATCTAAGGGCATATTAAACTTATGCAAATTGACTTAATACACCGAAGAATATGAGATAGACCCACGTTTTATTATACCGCTTGCTTCTCTGTCCATCCGTCCGGGTTTTTTATTCTATTTAAAGTCTGGTTCGCAATTTTGGAGATATTTTTATAGAATTTGATATAGTGACGTGTTTTGACCTGAGGACGAACGCTATTGAATATGTTTGGGATCGGTCGACTTACCATATAAAGCTTTGTCATTGTATGTTGTTGTCATTGTATGAGCGTCGAGTAACTGTGAGGTCGTGTAGAGTATTTAATGTTGGAAATAACTAATACATAATTTAATTATATTCCCGGTAGAAATGAGAAAAATTTAAAACGGAATTTCTAATGTCAAGCTGCGCAGTAAAAGGTTAAACTCTATATATTATATTATTTATTAAGAATTAAGAGTTCTCGTTCGTTTTCACAGTGCTTAGTAAAACTAATGAAACTTTATGAATTTGTTTATATGTGAACTCATTTAAAAAAATACGTGGGTCTCGAGTTAATCAAAATTGGTAGCAAATATACTAACACATTATAAAGTCTTGTGTGTTAAATTATAAGCGTAAATTTAGAAAAATATATATATGCACATACTACGTAGATAATTGATCGCTTAAACCCGATACAACCTCTTAGCTATTCTGAAGGCTGTAAAAACAAATAGCTTAACTTCAATCAAATGATCGCAGCTTAGCTCGCAGCAATACAATTCGCAATAAATTGATTTGTATTTGCCAGTTCGCAAGTTTAGCCATCATCCGATATATATGTCTGAGTGTGCTTGCAATTTATCATCCATAGATCCATTTTATTGACCGTTTTTTCATCACCCCAACTGTCCGCTTATCTTTCCTTCTTTTAACATAGGCGGTTATCGACTATGCATCTTTCTATCGTTTTTAAAATTCACTCATTGCATTATTTATTCGATCAATCATCTTTCTGTTTATGAACTTAATCACTTCTTCATTCTCATATAGGTCCTTCTATGAAATGTCTCTATTCATCCCTCTGTCCGTACATTTGTTTCCCTACTTATATATATATATTTTTTTTTTAAACAATTCAAAATCCCCAAATATACTCTTAACAATTTACAAAATTAGCTCAGTTGCCAGGACGAGACATTCAACTGTAAACCCAAGGTATATAACGATGAAAATAAGCCAAAGTTTGATAAAAAGAGTCTGCATAAAAGCTAATCGGTTTTCTAAGAAGCCAAATTCTAACAATAATAAAACAGAATACATTTTCATGATGCTATGCTATAGCTGCCGCTGCTGTGCGATTGGCGATACAAGAACTTCGCGGAACATTTAATAGGTAGAAACCCATAACATGAAAATATCTCAATGAAATTTGTGCACTGATAACTTGCTTTGTAGAAGGGTATATAAGGAAAGTATTTTCAGGAAGCAAGGTCGGTTGAGTCAAGAGTTTTGAATTCAGGCCAGAAAGAGCATTAAAGCGTTGCAAATATAAGTTCCTGTAAATAATTCATTTGTATATAGATTTCCTAAGAACTGTAAATAAAACCTACGTTAACATACAAAGCCATATTTCACTACTAAGAAACTAAATCTAACAAGCCAGAAAATTATATCCAGTCGTTACCGAACCCTTTTTACCCATCACAGTTATCATAAAAACGACAAAAAAGTAAGAAGAAGAAGAAGAAGAACTATACTTTCATGTTCTCTAATATGCAGTGAGTGCCGCTTCTTTTTTTTTATATTTTTAAAGTAAAAACATATCTCGCATAGGCGTGTGAGCATTGTGAACATGTCCTTTGCAATGTTTGTAAGTAATATCTTAATTTTCGCTGACGGGTGGATGTTTACCACAGATACTACACAGTTTGGCAAGTGGACATATGGAGAGATGGACAAACTATCAGACGGGCCTGCTTATTGTTATTATTATTATTATTATTATTATTAATTTCGCCAGAGAAATAAATTCTAAGACTAAACTCTCAAAAGCACTAGCATCTAAGGCTATCGGCCTAGTTCAAATTTAAAACTGGCCAAGAGTTTGTAGACTTTACGGAGTTTTTGAAGTTTGTTTCTGCACGTAATAAAGTTATCGAAAAAAAGGCATACTTTGACATAGTCTAACATTGGGCAGACGGGGTAAATTTTTCCCATTTTTGCACAGTTACTACAGCTTGCCCATAGAATATGCGTTCAAATTTTTGTACATTTATCTGCTATAGTTTACAAGTGTTAAGAAAAAAAAACAATTTTTTATTCCTTTTGAGAGATAGAAGTGGTCTTACTTTACATAGCATTGTTGGTGTGTCCTTTAAACGATTTGTCCCATTTTCAATGCCAACCTGCGTGCAGGCACTTCCAATGGTTTTGTCAAATTTGAAGTCAACAGCGCTATATTTGAGGCCAGGAGAATATTTAAACGCAGACGTACAGACGGACATGCTTAAATCGATTGCGAATTAGACTATACTATATAATTTATGGGCTCCCTGGAGTTATCCTCTGGGCGTTGCAAACGTTTTGACAAAATGAACATATCCCTCATTCTTCGGCGATGGATATAAAAAGGAATTGCAGTGAGTTCCACGTTACAATGTTTTCACTTATTATTTGCAATTTATCAGAGTTACGTAATAACTTTACTTTGCCTTAATGATGGGTATCTAAGATTCGCGCTGAGGCGAATACCCCTTTTGTTAGTTGTTCTGCTTAAGTATAATTGAAATTTTACAAAACAAGTACTTGTTAAAGTGATATGGAAAATCAGTTCAATTTTCTATGACGCGATAATGTATCCATATGGTTTTACAAGGAAATGTTCTTCTTTAACTTTTTTTTTTTTTTTTTTTTTTTTATCAAAACACAATGTGGGTGTCGTAAACACAGAAGTTTGTGAGAAATAAATACTTCCCAGAAAACAGAATTAATTTGATTAAAACAATATCGATGTACTTAGGCCTGAAATTCTCAGGCTAGAATGTAAATAATACAAACGAAACGATGAAGAAAAAGTCGAAGTACAAAAAATCTTAAATAACCGCTAAATAGACTTGAATTTATGGAATAAAAAGTTATAAAATAGAAGAAGACCTATGACAAAACTACTCGCTGAGTTAGTCTTACTCGACTCTTTTCAGTTTTATAAAATTGATATTTGGAGCTTCAGGTTCATGGAGGACACGTCTGAACTGTAAGAATGCTTCGCAGTAAAATTTTCTATTAAAGTTGTTGCACTTCATTGCAAATATGTATATATTTATTTATCATAGCGTACATTAAGTATGTGCGGGTGCACGTTTTAAGATGAGAATCAATCTAAGCCTATCCGTCTGCTTGTCTACTTGTCAATGCAAATTTGTGTTCAAACTACATGTCGCAATCCTTGAGACATCTTTGATACAGTGACGGTGATGTGTTAACCCAAAGACGAACGCTATTGAAAATGGTTCGGATCGGTACACTTTTTCGACAACTCCCCATATAACGCCCCATTCTGAAAAGTCATTATATGGACAGAAATTGTAATTTCCCAAATTTCTCGGCACAATAGTAAGATAAGGAATAAATAGATAAGAGAAAAGAAAGAAAACTTTGTTTTTGCTATTCATTATTTTACCGAACTATTTACGATTTTTTGCACATCTACTCTTTGATATATATACTCAAGTTAATATTGCATAATATTCATTTGAATTTCTTGTCGAGATCGCCTATGCAAATCGTACGAAATCGTTACACTCACGTTTACAAACTATCCAGATTTTTTGCATTGAAAATCGCATTCGACTGCAGCTTTGACACATTTATGAGTGTCCCAGTTAATCAACAATTAAACATTTTAAAATACAATTCAAATTGCACGCGATAAGCTACAAAATAAAATTAAGAGATTGTTGTGCCTGAAGCTGCGAAAGGCCTGACAATGAATGAACGAATTTATCGAATTTATTTAATTTGGACGAATTCTAGACATTTTCGTCCATCTCGGCCTAGACCAAATTGTAGGATTCGAAAGTCTGCGATATGTGATGCTCGTAAGAGAATACAAATTGCCATATAGTCGGTGTAGCTGGTAATAAGAATCGGATCATTGAAAGGTAAGTTCAATGCGACGGTTTTCGTTATATGCAAAGTTTTACCGTCAAACTTGTAAGCTGTGTAACTTTGAAAATCGCCAACTCTAGACATCTAGATAGACATTCCAAAAAAAGAGGACTTTCCTAAATTATAATCGTACGCTGCCGAATTCTACGCACAGCAGTTTATAGAGACTTAGCAATTCATTAATGGATATAAGTAAAGCCATTGCAAAACTAGTATATACCCTATACCAAAGCAAAAGAAAAAAAAAAAATACAAAAATGATACCGAATATGGTCGATTAAAACTGAAAACTGCTAAAAACACTAAAGTAGATCAGGGTCCACCATTAGGAACCCTACACCGCCCTACATGTGATTCATGTTGCGACTTTTCGAAATAAACTGTTATAGGGGAAAAAAGCGGATAGACATTTTTGGGCCATGACACGTCAGTGTATCAGTTTTCGTCAAAATATCTGACAAATTGCGGACTTTAGGTTCAACACATGAAAACAAGACAAATAGACGAACAGACGTACAAACAGACTTAAATCGATTCAGAAACCGATTTTGAATCAATCGGTATAATAAAAGATAGATCCATTTCAAGTTCAGTTGTGTCTTGCATACATCCGCAGATACTTAATATACCCTTGCGTCACAAGTAGTGTAGGGTGTAAAATGCAAATAACGAAATAGTCTGTAATGTTTGATTTAGAATTTTACAAAGATGTGTCTGTGTATGTTTGTAAATGTGTTGAAATAATTCAAAGTTAAATAAATTCTGGTTTTTATTTTTAACTTTAATTTTATTTTCTATTTTCATATAATTTAATGTGTGACAGAAGCGAACGTTTTATAAACATTCATCGGAGCTTATTGCAATTGCTTAAGGATCTTATAAAAGCACGTACACGCCGCTGTAAGCACATGTATATATTTAATAAATTTCGCTTTTTGCACTCACTTCATTTTTCTCAAATTTTAAATTTTAAATTTCAAGTTTAGCGAAAGTTTAAAAAATTCTATCGATTTCTTTTACTGTGTTTCTTTGCTCAGCCAACCTTTCGATATTAAGACTAAATCTTAACTGATTCTAAACATTATATTTTTTTTTAAAAAACATTTGTATATGTATGTTTTTTTTCTCATAAACAAGTAAATAAACACAAATACAAATGTATGTATATATATAACTATAACCGCTTTGTATATAACAACAAAATGAGAGATGAGCTCATATAACTGCCCTAAGCTTTTGCTTTTAAAAATTATTTGGCGGTGAGTAACTGAGAGTTATAGAATCTTAATATTAAAACAAAAAATAAATGAATAAATAAATAAATAAATACTCTCATAATTGGCATTGTGTTGTTAACTCTTTAGTTTAAACGAAATAATCATAATAATGATTAATTGTAATGCAATTAACATTATTTCTATTTAATTATCAATTTAATAGACGTTTAGAGATTAGATTTATTTAAAGCCGGAGATAAAAAATGAAAAAAAGGCTGTAAATTTTTGATGTCGTTACTACTCATGTCAATTATAAAACTTATTTAAAAATATTTATTAATGTGTACTTACAAAATTATTATTATTATTATTATTATTATTATTATTATTGTATCAATATTTTCTATTTAAGCATTAAAATTTATTAGCGCTGTACTACCCAAACGGCGGCCATCACATACCGGATGAGGTTTACCCGTTTTAAAACCGATAGCCGTTAAAGCTGAGAACGGTTTGTCGGGTGATAAGTAATTCAATTCGTGTCCAACATTAAGTAAATAATCGATAGTATATTCAGGTACCGTGGTCTCGATATCGATATACATCGGTGACAATTGATGATGTACACGGCCAGAATTAATGGCAGCTTCGATGGGTTCGTTCAATATAAAATAACGTAGTATTGTCTAAAAAGTGAAATTTGTATAACCATTATATATAATGTTAATATTGAAAATAATTTAAAAAATGAAGTGAAAAAGTGAAGGTAAAAATGCTCCGTCGCTTCTGTACATTTATCTGTTATCTAATTATTTACATAAGCCTTAAGAGAATTCTTTAAAAATAGCTTTCGAAATGTATATATGTTAGATCATTTCAGAAAAGATTTAACATTCAAAGGTGACCCAATGATTACCATTGATCCCCATACCCATCATCCATAGCAGCTTATCATCCTTGCAATTAGTTGGCCAAGATTTCAAGTTGCGTCTGCATAAGATCATGACAGCTCCAAAAAAAAACGAAACCGAATCAATACCACGCACGATTTAATTTCACCGTATGTAGCCACATCTAAGCCACATCCCAATAGGTTTTTCAGCCGTAAGATGTCTGTTTTATTCAATATTTTCGTTAGCAAGTAAACGTTCTGTATTTAATTTCGCATTCTATGAAAGACAAACGTTGTCTCATAACTGAATGGTTTGTTAGGCAATTCATTTTAACGAACCGAACAGAGCAGTAGCAGTCTCAAATGTTTGGGCCAAGCTATAAGAACGTAAAGAGTTCTCCATAATAAATTTCAACGCATCCCAAAGGACATTATTAATAAAAATTATTAAGATATAGTTTTCGTTTGCTATTTTAAATAACAAAGCATACCACGATCAGCCTCACACGGGCTGGAAGTGAGAAAGTAGTCTCACGTCTTCAATAGAAAGTTGTTTCTGATTTATATAGCGTTTACTCGTTTATCTAGCAATCCAGTTATACATAAATTTAAAATATAATATTACAGGCCACACATTTTTATACCGTACCCCGCTACTAAGGTACAAGACTATGTTAAGTCTGCGCAGAAGTATTTAATACGCTGAAGGAGTTAAGACATATACAGGTTTTTTTCCGAATCGACCTAAGCTTCTCTGCCCGTCTGTCCGTCTTATTTTAGTGGACATAAGTGAAGGCTATTCGGCAACTCGAAAGCTAGAACTAGGAAATGTTCATTTGTAGGCACTAATATATGTATATTTAATTAAGAATAAACGAAAGAGAGTCCTTCACGTAAGTACATTCTCTTTTAAAATACCCTATACCCGTCTATTTATATCCTACACCACTTGCGGTACAAAGTATATTAAGTTGGTGCGGACGTAAGTAACACCCAAAAGGGCTTAAAATACACCCACCTTTTATTACATTGATTTGTCCGTCGGTCTGTCTGACGTCTGTGCACATACTACTATTTTCAGCTTATAGCTTGCAATTTTTAAACTATTTTGATGAAATTGATGAAATACACCATGTTAGTTTTCGGCCCAAGCATGGATGCTAGTGAAAATGATAAGGATTGAACGACTTTCTCATAAAACGCCTTATTTTGAAAAGCCATTATATGAAAAAAACTATTAAGAGGAGTGGGGTAAATGATTTAATGGTCTGCCATGCTTCACTGTAATGTTTTTATTTGTTTAAATGTGTATTACCTGAGCAACACCACTGGTTATCTTTGAACCACCAGCCCCGCCGACCATTAACTGAATATGTCCAAAATTGTCTAAAACGATGCTGGGACATGTGGACGACATCGGTATTTTGCCCGGTTTAATATAATTGGCAGGAGAAGCTGGTATACCGTACGTATTGACAAATCCCGGGGTAGAAAAATCATCCATTTCATCATTTAATATAATTCCCGTCTGACGAGATCTAACCTTGGCACCCAGACTACAAAATATAAACTTGATTACTTGATCTTGATTTTCATTTAAGTCAAAGCAACATCATCATTACTTACTGACTGTTCACCGTACTAGTTATTGCTATGGCATCACCGTTCGGCGCTATCACCGATAAATTGGCGGTACCATGATCTTCAACGTGAGTAAAATTTGCATTATAATATCCCATATTTGTGCAAGTCGTATCATCTCTAATTAATGTGCGTATATCATCAGCAAATTCAGGGCTAATGAATTTTTCAAATTCTTCTGTCACATGCGGCTCGTAGCGTGTATCACCCAGATTGGTGCGAAATCCGTAACCATGTTTAAATGCCTCGATCATACGTTGGCAGAAGACAGGTTCATCGGTTGTATGCAATGGTTCCAAAACTTTTAATATAAAAGCCAATACAACACCGCTAGTAGGTAATGGAGCTGTAAACAGTCTATAGTCCTTCGCAAAAGGCATGACTATTGGTTCCTCCCAGCGCACTCTGAAATGATAGTAAAAACTTGTATACCTGTAAAATTTTTTTTACCTATCAATGTCAGAGGATGGGAAAATACATAAACTTCTAGAAATACGCAATAAGGAGCTCGTTCCCTTTTCCTTCCCTTCCATATGCATATCATCTAATATTCTTCGTTCAGTCGTTTCCTTTACTTTGTACATAATTCACATTCGCGATAAATAAATATAATAAGAAATAGATGTGTTCAGTCGAGCTAAAAAAAAGTCTGGCATAAAAACGCGCCCACAATAATCAAAAAAGATGAAGACTGCTTATGCTTTGTTTTGCGACGTTGCGTTCTTCTCTTCGGGAAAATTTTATCCACATTTGGATCAAAACAACGAATTTTTTTTACTAACCACACACTGTGGACATCTAAAATTCTTCCCTTTAAGTGGAATGTAATTGCCGTAATGAGTTATATAAGAAGTTGGTTAATCTATTTTTAACTCGCAGAAAGACACGTCTAGATCTATTCATAAGCATCTTCGTATAGTACACATATTAAGATGAAATAGAAATGTGTCCATAACAGTTGAATAAGTTCGTGGCTCCCCTCCTTCCCTCTGTCTATGACGTACCATTTATATGAAGGTGTAAATCAAAATTACGTACCCTTTAAACATATAGAGTGGAAAGGTTCACATAACCGACTTATTGCTGCACCCACTATAAACAAAAATGATTTTTCGAGTGCATCCAAAATTCAGTCCGTAGCGTATTTAGCTTCGACACGTACTTAGTGTAATAACTTACTTACTTATAATTTTTTAAATCCTCTTCAGTAATAATGCCACCCATTTCCTGTATATCTTCGACCAACATTTTACCAATACGACCTCCATCGTACATTGCACCTGGACCTTCTTCAGCCAATATTTTTAAAGTTTCACCTAGTTGGGGACGGTACATAATTTCGTTTTCCTTATATAAGTCATTAGTGTAAGGATTTATGAATATTTCGGCCATTGTCGCTTCTTTCAATACTCGCTCTCTATAAAATTCTAAAATATTGGCTAAATATTTAGTTACTCGATGGCCTTTAAAACATAATTCAATGCCCGGTTCAAATAGAGTTTTCCACGGCAATTTGCCATATTTCTGATGCAAACACCAATAGCCGTAAATTTCGCCGGGCGTTGCGGCCGCAATGGCACCCGTAATTTCTTTGGCCATAAACATATCCTGATGAGCAGCAGCTGGTGCTGTTTCTCTTGCGATTAAAATTTCAATTTTACCGGTTTCTTTGGTATATAGGTTAGCTACAAATCCACCGCCTATACCTAAACTATGAGGCAACATAACACCTTCGCACAATAAAGTGGCTATGGCAGCATCTACTGCTGAGCCGCCATTGCGTAAAATTTTTCTAAAAATTAAAAACACAGAAAAAAAACCACATAGTTCTCATAATTTGGTACAGTGTTCTTAATGAATTTCGTTTCAAGTTCTTTGCGGTTTTTTTGTTCCTTTTACCCTCCAATTTCAGCACAACATTCGCCATTCGAAGCTATTGCTCCAATACCCAAATAACCAGGTTTTTGTTTATGCCCACCAAGTGCATCAAATGTATCACCCAGTGTTGAGAATTGAAGAGATCGCTACCAAAATATTGATACGGTGTGATGTCAAATTTTTATAATACTGAAAGTTTCTTTTATTTTTCAAAAATTTTTCTCAATTGAAGATTGTTTTTGTCTCAAATCGAGTACGTTGAGTTTTGAAACTTTCTCTGACGTTTGTAAATTATGGTGTTAATTTTGGGAAACTACATAACCGTGCCGTTTTAAATTTTTCGCGGGGTGTAGTTCGCTTTAATATATCAAATAATTGTATCTTACACCACTTGTGATTCAGGGTATATTGAGTTTGTGCGGACATATGTAACACGCAGAAAGGCTTAAGATAGACTCATCTTTTATTATACCAATCGATTCAGAATCATTTTCTCAAGCTCTCCTCTCAATTCAGAATCATTTTCTCAATCGATCTAATTCTGTCTGTCCATCTACGCGTCTGATGTCTATGCATGTAAATTTGTGTTGAAGCTACAGGTCGCAATGTTTGTGATATTTTGATGCACTTTGGGACACTGACGTGTTTTGACTTAAGGAAATATGCTATTGAAAATAATTTTCATCGCAATATTTCGGCATTCTAAATTGATGTGAAAGCTTTGGATCGGCTCCGGCGATTTGTTGAACCCCCTCTCATATAACGAGAACTAAAATTTTTATGACAAAAAGATCTAATTTTCAATGCTTTGTGATGAAAATCAGATCATAATAGTTATTTAAGATAAAAAAGACAACTATACCAAGTTTCGATCATCTCGGTGTATTTCTCGGTCTATATTTTCCAGTTAAAGGATTTTCAAGAAAATTGATCCCTTTTATGGCAGAAAAGTCTAAATTTTAATATGTTATGATGAAAATTAACCCATAAGAGTAATGTGATATAAAAATTAACTCTATAAAATTTGGCCCCTTGCACGACTATTTTTAGATCCTACTTTATATAAGAATTTTTTCGAAAAATTGATTTTCTTGGACAGAAAAGTCGAATAATAATATTTTATGATGAAAACTGATCCATCTTAGTAACTTAATATAAGACCTCAATTAATGAACCTCTTGGGCGCAACTGTCTTTACGGAAAGTAAGCCTTATTTTGCAAAGAGATCTAATTTTTAATATGCAGTTCCATAATAATAAGTTCCTATAAAAACAGGGTATAGGTTTTGTGTTCTATGGGAAATATTAGAGTTGTGTTAAACAAAGTCGTGTAGAGTATTTAATAGCCGGCTTAGCCCGACTATAATGTTTTCAGTTGTCTTTATTTATTAATTTTTATGCCCTACATCACTTTTGGTATTGTATATTAAGAGTTGTGCGGACGTATGTAACACTCCGAAGAGCTCAAGATAAATCCGCGTTTGACTGTGCCGATTCATTCAGAAAATGATTGTAATCTAAGCTTGTCTGTCCATATGTCTGCCTGACGTCTTTCCTAGTATTCTTTTGTTCAACCTACATGCCGAAATTTTTTGTATATTTTGTTGAAGTTTGGCACACTGACGTGTTTTGAGCTAAGGACGAACCTTATTATAAATGGTTCAGACCGAATTACTTTCTCGATCACTCACCTTGCCCCAATACTCGCTTTATATTCAAAAGTCATTGTATGAAAAGATATTCTAGTAATTAGAATTTCGCGACATAAGTCGCTGTATGGTAATACTTCGGCATTTTAAATTGGTGTGAAAAATTCCGGCGGAGGCGAGCCACTTTTTGAAATCCTGGAATATAACCGTCGGTACAAAACCTGAATCTATATGCGGCGAAAGGCTTAATTTTCAGTAAGTAATTCTTGGTGAAAACTCATTCACAGGAAGGGCTTCAAGAATTAACTCTATTGTATTTGGACCACGTAAGTCTATTTTTTGAACCCCACCCCATATAAGAGTTCAAATAAGGGATAAGCCCTTTTATGGCAAAAATATCCAACTTTTGATATTTTATGATGCAAAGTTGATCGGAAGAGTAATTTGATATAAAACTTCACTATATGAAATTTAGATTAAATAGGTCTGTTATTTGGACATCATCACTTACAAGGATCACCATAAAATATTCCTCTCGTATATATCAAAAAGATCCAAGTTTTAATAGTTTATGATGAAAATGTTCTCTTAGTAACACAACCATAGTCTAATTTGCAGTTTTTTATCACGGAAGTACCTGAAATATAATCATAAGCTCTTCAACAAGTAAACAAAATATGCTATATTTTGACTACGTTAGCTGACGTTTTTCACTTACGTGTACTCCAATGTGATGGCTTCCATCAAATGTACAGTTATATTTACATAAAGTTAATGCATAATTTTCGGTGTATTAACACCGAGAAGAATAACTGGTTGCATTAGCCAGTAATTGAAATCTGGAGTACATATTTATCGTTGTCTGCTATGCACGCTTTAATGTTATTTATTTTAATGATATTTTCTGTTACTATTCATGTTATGTAGTGTAGTAAAGCTTTAAATTGGATAATTGGATAAACTTAATTTTCATTCATACATATACGTATTAAATTTATGTATATTTTTTGTATTTGTTGTTTTTTTTTTTTTTTTTTTCTATAACTATATCGTATATATATATGTATCATATAAAGGAATGTGACTGGATGTGACGACAGTGATCGCAAACAACATCATCTTTAATACCCTTAACTAAATATAAATTCACCAATAACTTTCATAAGTTCCGCATGCTCTTTTGTTTCCTGCATTAGGTGTGCAGTAACCGATGAACAAACGGTTCCTTCCTTCTCAAGTTTCTTCTTAGGCTTTCAGTTTTGTCGGTTCAACTGCATTATCTTTCATTGAAGACTTCAGCTTTTTATTAACTATAGGCTTTTTCTCATATTATTGCCCCAGCAAACACACTTTCTCTATATTAGGCACTTTTTTTTCTGAATAAAAATTGGTTTTTCGCCTTCAATTAACACGTCACCTCTTCACTTTCCTCATACTTAACAAGAAAATTAGAGAAAATCATTTCCAGTGAGGTTGGATGATGGTTATTTTGAATCTCGATCGGCTTTCACTTGGACTTCATCTGCGGTTTATTATCGTTTGGCGCTGTGTTGTTGGAATTGCCATAAGTTTGATTACAATTGTTATCTAACTTGACGTCTTTAAACACATCAACATCAACATGCATTTTGCGTTGATTTTTATATTTTCTTCCTTGTAAGTTACGTTTATCTGGTTAACATTTCTGTTGCTATTATCGTTGTTGTTGCGTCAGTTCTTGAATAGACTTTCGTTTAGTCAATCAATTACTTCCTTGGATAAATGATTTTTTTGTTACTTCATTCACAAATCAAATCTCCTCAGTCGAATTCCCTTCGAGGATACAACTTGGACATTCGCAATTTGCACACATTATTATTAGTGGCATTGAGCAATTGAAAGCGTAACTCGTGTTGTTGCTTTTAATGCTGGTAGTGTTGCTATTCTGACTCCAATTCCACACTCTTAAGTCGATTGTCGTCCCATATTAATGACAGTCGGTCTACCCGGTATAGGATCAAATTTTAATAATAACGAGCTACCATCCCTCGCATGTTGTTATTGCTGTAGATATTGCCCAAAAATTTAGTCTCATCGAAAGCCGATTGTTCCGCCTGTTTTCAGGACTTTGACAGATTTGAAAATTGTCATAAAATATGGAGTCTTTTCATAATGTCGCCGCATTTTCGCTCGTTTCTTTTGAGGTTATGTTCAATACAATTTTGATTAGTTTTACTTGTAAATTTGTTTTATTTTATTCGACAGTTACCAGTACTCAGGATTCGCTACTGTTGCTCCAAAATCACAACTCAGACAGACTTGATAATATAAGCCGAGTTTGGCCTCCTTGGCAACGTCTTAGAATAACGCCGCTCTAGAATAACCTCTTAACAAACTGGTATTTTAGCAAATACAACAGCAGCATCAGCATGCAATTCATTGCCATCTACGACCAACTTTACAGAACTTTTTGAATCGCACCGATCGCAGGAGCCTACTAATTTAACAACCACACAACCAACAATTAAGACACTCCCAATGAGAAATCCTTTCTAGAACCAACTCACCCGATCAGACAAAGTCAGACACCTTTTCTCTCTAGAGAGCTTTTAGCCATGCCAACACTTCAACGGTCTCCGTCTGGTTTTCCTGACCAAAAAGCCTACGTGGGTCGAATAGAAGCGACTTATTCACCACATTCGAATACCAACACAAGGATGGTTTCAGCTCCCAATACTAAATGGAATAGGAGCGAAGCAACAAATTTAGCTGCTGCTAATCATACACTGCAGCTTCCTTCCCTTCGTTTGTATCCATGGATTTTCTCAATCATACGCCCGCTCACGCTCATACAGGGCATGCACTTGATCCACTGGCTCATACGCATAACAATTATAGCGGAACGACGCATGGTCATAATCACTCGCGTCGCCAATCTGGAATACTCATGCTGATCCGCCACCTTATTTGGTGGATCACAATCTATGGGTACGACAACAAAGGGTCCAAGAATAACATCGTCGTCATATGACTTCCACACTTATCAAATCCGTTGAATTTAACCAGTAGTCTTCGATCCCGCGATCGCGCCCCTAACGGACCAGTTTCCAGTTAGGATCCGGCTTACTATCCCCTTAATTCGTGGTCTCAACCCCAACGTAGATGTTCGACTATACGACATCCATCCGTACATCACCATATAGTCCATCATTATTCTCGAGTACATGTAGCAATTAACTTGTTAACGCCAAGAATATTGCATACCTTGTCGCATAAATATCGTCGTGGACAAAGGCCTAGGGGGCCAGATGATTATGCTGAAAGGTGTGCCATTTGTTTGTCACTCTTTGAGATAGGCAGTGACGTTAGATGCTTACCTTGCGTGTATTGGTTCCGCGCCGACTGCGTAGACCGGTGGTTAGTGACTAATAAACATAGTCCCATATTTGGCGTGGATATAGAAAGCGATTTGAATAAAGATGCATTGATTGCCATTACGAGCAGCACTAGTGGTTGTAGTGCCAACACATTATGATAATGGTAGTGTTAACATACATAGTCCACAGGTTTGCATTTCCAATTCTTAAAAGAGCTTAAATACATGGAATCTCTTGTTTCTTATTTTAAAGTTAATATTTTTTCACCTGTCATTGTTTTGGCATAGCTATTAATAAAACTCTTTAAGTAATTGATTTCGCTGCTATTTAATTCATTCCACTGTGTGCTATATAATCTAAATACATTTTCAATATCTTTTTCGGAAACATCTATTAATTCCTTCTCTAAAATGTACTAGTATTCGAATTTCTGTTCAATTACTTAATTGTTACTGAAGCGCTGGAATTTATATTTACATTTTACATTTTAACATCCATAGGGAAGACAACAGAGCACAGCGAAAGCTGGATATAATTTTGTGGCTGCAATGCAAGTTGAAGAGCAAAATGTACCGTTTACGCTCCCTTCCCATTTAAAATTGGAAATCTTTGCATTACATTTGCGGAAAATTTTTAAAAATTTGATATCTTCAATGCGCTAAAATCGCTTTATTTTGAGCTGTTGAGAACGACATTCGATAAGCATAGACTTTATTGAAAAAAGAAAATGACTTCTAAAATTCGTAACGTGCAATTTTTTTATCTCTTAGTGTGCGAGTCAGCTCAGACGCGCCAAAGTCCATGTTATCAGAAAATTTGTTGTGGAGAGAATCGCCTATTTACTGCTGCCCGTTTCGCCGATTAAAATGCTAGGATCTTTAGCTTTTTCTCGATTTTCATTTTCAAGGATTGAATTGTCATCGGTATGGGATGCGATCGCCTCTCTTTTCTCGTCGCAATATCGTTCTTCTTCTTTAAGTGTAGTCGACGGTGAGTGCAGGGGTAAAGACCAAACAGGCATCTCCGTCGGAGTAGAAATAAAAAAAAGTCCCTTATTTCTCCAAAGTCCCTAAAGTTTCCTAAGCCCAAGAACAAAGGTAAACTATCCCAAGTTATGGAAGAAAATAGGTAATGGACACTGTACCATCAGAAGTGATGATTAAACAATGGATGGCGTTAGAGGTGTGTTTTAGGCTGTGGATCCTCTAATCCTTTCATTGTCAACGGCTGTCTGGATAACGCTTTTTATTTCATTTGCTTTTACGGTATGTGACTGCGAACTTATGTTGCTGTAATTCTCGAACTCATCTGGCCAGTCTTCCTGTGGGGTCCTCCATATTGTGAAGCCATTTACAAGATAAATGTTCGGTGATGACCTCGAACTTGTATCCTCTAGGTATGGACTCATTTTATTATCATATCATATTGCAGCTAACCATTCTCTCTTCGTTGTTAAATAATTGATTTCAGCCTTTTGCAGCTCTCAGCTTGCATAAGCAATAACCTTTTCACCTCCTCCGTAAATTGGGCGCGTACTACTTTTAAGCCGTAATCGTTGGCATCGGTTTGCAAAATAAACTTCTTATTAAAGTCAGGCCACGTTAAAACTGGTGCATCTATTAATTTTTGTGTCAGGTATTCGTAGGCGAACTGTTGAGTATTTTACCTTTTTACGCAAACCTTACCTTTCTTAATTTCATTAGTAAAAGGACTAGCGATATCCGAGTATTACGGTATAAATCTCCTATACCATGATATAATGCCGAGAAACTAGCGCATCTCTCGTATATTTTGTGGAATCTTTAAATCGACAATGGCCTTAATTTTATCAGGATCTGTTTTCATACTTTCTTCTCCTACGACGTGTCCGAGAGATTGTGTTTCCTCCTGTATGAATTCACATTTTTCGGGGTGTATTTTGAAATTGGCGTTCCGTGACCGGTATCTAATTTTTATTAGGCTCTCATATTTCATATAAATTTGGTGTTGAGCAATCGTAGTAACACTATGATTATTTTGAAATTTAGGCAATTCCTTCTCAACAAATCCCTGTGCAGGTCACCGTAAACTCTTTCGATATTAGAATCTTTTACATTCTGATCAGTTAACAAATTTGCATTTGTGCTATCGGAATTTTCTCTCTTCTTATTAACCTGTATTGTGCATTCTTCTTACAGCTCTGTGATTGCATTTACTGTATGTTCGGGCACCTGATTGTTCGGACAAGCGTTCCTGTGATGTAGGACGATTGGCTACCGAGTAATGCTTAAATGGGTTATCTAGAGTTGTAGATAGATCGGCTATAGAAATAACGGCTTTAAAAGCTTTTAGAAAGGTTAATCCCAAGATTACGTCGTCCAATGCATTCGGTACTACTAAAAAAATAACCGTTTCAGTTTGATTACAAATTTGTACGTGACATTATACGGTCTGTTGGTCCATTGGCTAAAGTAACTTCTACTTCGGTGATTAGTGCCTCGAGTGGTGAATTAAGTGATTCGCTAAATTGAACAGCTGGTGGCGCCTGTACCGATTGTTGCAATAGTTATATCTCCCCCTATAGCAAGAGTAATCGTGAGTTTAGAGTTGTTGCAAGTTAATGCATTGGATGGAGAGGTTGGATATTCAGGACCCGCTGCTCTTCTGTTCAATCGGGTTCCTTACGAGTTTTTCTTTCTGGTGTTTTGCTTGTTGTTGCTTCCAAACATCTGCATTGGTTTGCGGCGTTTACAGTTTTTCTTTTTGTGTTTTTGATAATGTGTCGTTTGCGTGAGAGATCACTTTTGAATAAGTGACAAATTTTTTGTTTTATTTTGTCTGCTGCCTTCTGGCATTTACATCATTTCGAACTAAACCAGGCTCTGATTCTGAGCTAATCGTTGCTTATTTGCTGTGCGAGCGTTTTTGTCATCCTAAATACGCAGGTATCACTGGCCGTGCTGCAGACGCAGTCCTAGATCGTTCGAAAAGCTTATGTTTGTCATAACTCCATTGTAGGAAGCGGAACGCTGCCTTTGGAAAGTTCTTAAAGGAGACTAGGAATGGTTTCTCTAAATTAAGTAAAACTCACGTGACATTATGCGAAAAGTTTGATGAAATTAAGATAATGTACGATGAGCGCCGCTAACCAAAGTACTCATCTTCTCCCCCAGCCTGCAAAAGACCAACTCGTAATTTATAGTTCTTAGTACGAACGACGCCTGCTTGTCGGTAGTGCCCTCCAGAAAGGCAAAATTCGTGTCAAGGCTGACGCCTGCCACCTCTAAGGGTA